TATCTATCTATCTATCTATCTATCTATCTATCTATCTATCTATCTATCTATCTCATCCATTTGTTTATTTACAAACATCTCTTACTAATTAAGTTTTACATGATGAGAACAGAAAAGCCTATTTATAACCAGCCTTGTGTTTCAAAATGATCTATTTATTTACGATGAATCATTTCTCGCCTTGTCGTCTTAAATCTGGTGTATTAATCAACGTTTAGAATGATTTATAGGAGAGTGAAAGCAGGGGAATGCATGCTGATTTTGAATAGTTTTGTGAACCATTTGTCCCCATGCACAAACACATTAATTAACTCTTACATTATAAAACTGCAATTTGTATATGAAACAAATCAAAAGTCAGAAAAACATGTTTGTCATCTTCACTTTCATCTATTTTATATCTAACGTGTTTCAGTTGGACTCTGTTAAATGACTCAAATGAATATTCTCTCTCACACACACACACACACACACACACACACACACACACACACACACTCCTACTCTCCTGCTGTTTTCCAGCTTTTCATGTTTGACCTTTAGTTAAGACGGTTGATGAGCTCCGGGGTGCGAAGAGATACTGACTTCACGGGTTGATCGTGATTCTTCGTGGTTTATTCGTCACAGAGCTGATGAGATTAACACTGCCATGCCTTTCGGTTACACCCCTCAAGCAGCAGACCTCGACCAGCCTCGGCCTGTTTGGTGCTTTAAAGAGAAGCAGGTGAGATAGTCGAGACCTTTTCTGGTGAGCGGAAGTGCTGACGATGTGACATCTTACTGTAGTTCAGGTAAACTTACTCAAAACTTGACATGGAGCCGATACCCTCATTCACACCTGCTTGTAGCGATTTCACAAAAACTTTTTTTACAAAATACGACAGAGAAACACTTCCAGTGTTTAATGTCTGGCACAGCGCTGCATGAAGTCAACATTTCCCGACAGTGATGATAAAATGCGCTGACGTAAAGAACACTGCTAACTCGCCATTTTTATTTGACCTTTTATTAATGTTTTGGTTGGTTCTCTATGCCTACAATAGTCACATGCATGGTTAGATTCTGTCTCTTCCTCTTCCGCCACTTCCCGGATAAACTGACCTGGAGTCAAATGATGCATGTGTGTTATTTTCATAGATCAAAGACTGTTCAGAAAGGCCAGGTTGGTAACTTACCCCATGTTCCTGATGATGAATTATGACAGTATACTCAAGCATTGCCTGCTTGCACGAACATGGCACTCACCAGCTTCCCTGCCTCATCTTACCTGCCCAAGTCTCCTTCTCTACCACTTTCCTCTCTCACCCTTTGCAATATGCACTCCCTCATTAGAAACACAAATACCTTGTTCTTCCTGTGGGGTCTGCTGAATGTAGGCCGTTCGTTTGCAACAATTTGCAAAGGGCTGCAGTATTCAGAAATTACAGGGATTCACAATTTCATTCCAGTTTTTCAAATCAAAAACTCTATATAACTTTACTGTATATTTGTCACTTTGTTAATAAGATAAATAATACTAAGTTAGTCTGACAAGCTGCTGTAGACTGTGCAGGTTAACATGATGCATGGAAATCATTCCTCTATTGAGGAGATACAATGTGTACAATAGTGCTTGGAAGTTTAAATATTCAGTTGTGCAAGATGAACTCTTACTATAATAGTCTCTTAAAGTCATCTGTGTTTGGCTCTGTGGATATCCCAGTGTGAGAGGAATACCACATGCAGTTCATTCATTTCAGCAGCTGAAAAAGATGAAACTGTTTGTAAAAACTATTGGTTTTGGATTGTAACAGGGCACTGCCAGGGAAACGTCGCCTCCCCTGCCCTCTCACCACACGGCATTGGCCGGATGTTTCAGTAGGTTAAACGGCCACGTTGGCCAGTCTCGGGTCTGAGTCCTGCTCGTAGCGGTAATGGTAGACCTCCATCTGGTCCCGGCACGCATCTCTGATGTTGTTGAGCCACCGTTTGATGCCTCCCCGGTTGAGATACAGCACCATTAGAAACACCACCCCGATCAGAGCCAGCACTAACCCGAGGAACACGTACGAAACCGCCTCGAGGTTCTCCTTCATACAATCCACGTCCTCTTTCCGCAGCATCTCCACAGGAACCCCCCTCTTGGCCTCCGGCTCGCTGCACAGGAGGCGCCCCGCATCCGGGCACTGGGATGAGTTCTTCAACCAGTAGTAAAACGCCTCCAGTTCGCAGTTGCACCGAAACGGGTTTAAAGCCAAGTAGACGCGTATGCGCTTTTGCTGGTACAACATGGTTAAATTGCCTCCCCCTATGCTCTCTATTGAGTTATTTACCAGCACTAACGCGTGGAGATTGTGCATATCTACTCGCAGCAGGGGAATTGACTTCAGCGTGTTTCCCGCTAACTCCAGTCTGTGGAGGTTGCGCAAACTTTGTGTGTTGAGCGCATTCGAGAGCTGCTCTGTGGCCGGAGGTAAAATAGAGTGATTTAGGTAAAGAGAGCGAAGCTCCAGTAACCCGTGGAAAGCCCTGGGTGAGATGTACTCCAGCTGGTTGTGGCTCAGATCCAGCAAATGCAACCGAGGGAGTCCCAGGAAGGCGTTATGTTCAATAACCTGTATCCCGTTATGGGACAGGGAGAGTGTCGTCATTTGCAACTCCGTTCCGTTGCTCATGAACGCACCACGCTGTAAAGTTGAAATGTTTTTCCCCTTGAGTATCAAGGTGGACGTCCACTCCGGTATGTCTGCCGGCACCTCGGTGTCCTCCCCATCACGGCAGGTCACTGTCCCGGAGTCTTTGGCACAGATGCAGGACGACGGGCAAGCATGATCCGTCCTGACAGGAGAAAACAACAAACACGCCACTGCTGCGTAATACAAACACCGCTGGTTCCAAATAGAAAAAAGACACTTTGAATTGTCGGCACTGTAAAATATCCACATCTTCCCCCTCATTTAAGTCTCAAAGAAAGGTCTGTGCCGATGTGTCTTGCAAAAAAGGTGACCGACCACTATCCTATCTGGCATGTAAAGTCGATTCAATCCGGCTTCGGTTACTTTGAACCATCAGAATAGGAAGGGAAAAAACGCTCTTTCCACAGTCGCCTCGGTGCTCTGTGTCTCTGTCCGGAGAAAAGATGAGTTTTCTTTGGGATATTTACGCATCAGTACGGTGGATAACAGCCGAGTGTGGCTGCGTGAAAAGCTGCAGATATGCGCTCCCTTGGTGGTATTTTTGACGCCTGTCACTGAGAGAGAGAGAGCGAGAGAGAGAAGAGAGAGAGGGAGAAGGAGAGAGCGATACACGTGACAATATAAGTATCCCACTCCCAAGTCATCCTAATTCTAGTTTTTTTTTTTAAACATGATTAATATAAATATGCAATTAATATACATTTAATACAGATGCATAGCATAAATGCTACACAAGTTATTGATTGTAAACATATAGAAATCCCCTCCTTATGTTGCAGGAAGACTCTCTTGAGTTATTGTACGTCGTTTTTCCCATTGAAAAAAAAAACCTCAAACCCAATCCGCCAGTTTGAACAACAAATTAGGTCTTTCATCATGAATTATAGTGCAGGGCCGAGATCCTTCTTGTGGCACTGGCACCTCTGTGGCACTCCGTGGCACTCTGTGGCACTCAGCGGCACTCTATGGCACTCCGCGGCACTCTATGGCACTCCGCGGCAGTCTGTGGCACTTCAGCGGCAAGCGTCAGCTGTGGCAGGCGAGCGGTACTAGTTCGGCACCCGTCAAGAAGCTGCGGAGCTGAGGGGGCGGAGCCACATTTCCTGAGACATTTCCTGAGAACACACATTGTTGTTACAACAGGTCAGATTCCGTAAATCAGTTTTATGATTTTAGTTGAGTCACCGGAGCCACCGGAGCTATGCTCTGCGTTCACTCAAGCAGCAGCACAATACGGTGGAAGAATAAATAGCAACAACTCTGCACACACAAAAATGACTTTGATTAAACTATATTACAAACTGTATTGCATCAAACAATCCACAGATTAATTGAAAACTTGATTCAATTCTGTATGCATCCTTAGAGTAATTACGTTGTACTTTTTTGTTTCTCATTAATTTTATTTAAGTATGATTTTGCTGGTTTTGCAACAAAAGGGAACATAATACACTCTTTCCAAATTATTACTTTTACAGTCATTTACAACAATCGGCTAAAATAATGAAAATAAATCATCCGTTTTATTATCATTTAAAAGTATATATATACAAAAAAAATTAAATTTAAAATTAAAACCCATAAAATGTCCAATCCAAAAATACATGTCTGAAAATATCTTCACTCTTCCTCTGCTTATATGTATATGTCAGCAGGTGCCACAAGCTGCCAGAGGGTGCCAGGGGGTGCCGCGGGGTGCCAGAGAGTGCCAGAGAGTGCCACAGGGTGCCACAGGGTGCCAGAGAGTGCCAGAGAGTGCCACAGGGTGCCACAGGGTGCCAGAGAGTGCCAGAGAGTGCCAGAGAGTGCCACAGGGTGCCAGAGAGTGCCAGAGGGTGCCGCCAGCAGTCAGAGGGATTAGGAATTTTTTGAATATTCTCGAGTCAAACTTTCTATCTCTCAATGGCAATAAAACTGAAGTAATTTTATTTGGACCACAGTATTTGACCAACATTATATCTTCTCATCTTGGCCTTTTAACTTCTTCTGTTTCACCAGTCAATTCAGGATTTAAGTGTGACAATTAAATCAATGAAGTAGGTAAATTAGGCTTAGTGTTTGAAAAGAATGAACCAAACGTCTCTTTATTTTTCAATTGTCATTATTTATTGCTTCATGAACTACACATGCTCACTTTTCTATTACATAAAAATAACAAGTAAATACATGATGTATACAACTAGGTTGCAAATTAACCATCAACATCAAATATCAGATGAAATAACCTGCATTAAATACATCTGTATCAATAACACAATTAACAAAGCTTGCCGCTAAAGTGCCACAGACTGCCGCTGAGTGCCACAGAGAGTGCTGCAGAGTGCCACAGAGTGCCACAGAGTGCCGCTGAGTGCCACAGAGTGCCGCTGAGTGCTGCTGAGTGCCACAGAGTGCCACAGAGTGCCGCTGAGTGCCACAGAGTGCCGCTGAGTGCTGCTGAGTGCCACAGAGTGCCACAGAGGTGCCAGTGCCACAAGAAGGATCTCGCTGTCTCTCGAATTATGCCTGAATGGTTGCAGAATAATTGAACTCCAAGAGAGTTTGTTGTTTCCTTTCCACATCACGTTTCCATCATTACGGCCTTCATTTATGGCATCTTGTGTTTGTTGCAAATCAGTTGCTGTAATTATCCTGTAATGAGCCTGTGCGATGGGGGGCCTTGGTCAATTCTTTCCCATTGATCACTTTTCCAAAGAAAGAAAACAGAATTTTGGAGAGTTGGTCACGCTCTCCACGTCTACAGCATAGAGTTGGCAAACAAATCAATACGCTTGAATACATAAGCCACTTCTAACAGAGAGAGATATCTGATGCCGGACTGACAAGAGGCTGGGGCTGCCATGTTGTTTCTGCTGATGACTGAACCGGAAACACAGCCTGGAAGGGTACCATGGCACACAACATCACTAAAATTCATTAGGCTACTTTTATCTTTTGTCTGAAGAGGAAATAGTGACAATATTTTAACTGTTTCTCCACCAACCAACATAATTAATGCCACGTTAACAAGCCATAAGCACAGACAATGTATCCATTTCATAAAGTATTTAAGTGGTCAGTAAGTGCTCATCGTAAGACAGAAAGAGAGTTAGAGTTTCAGCCCTATGGACAGCTCCACTTAAAATGATCTTTTGTTGTTCTATGTTCACAATGAGGCAATGAAAGACGTACCCCGCAAATGGAAAGATGAAAAGGGTGGAAAGAAGAAAAGTGGAAGGCACTGTAATTTTTTTGTTCTTCTTTTAAACTGACAACAAACCTAACATGAGCTGAGGAAGAAAAAGAAATGAGGACGAAGACAGGAAAGAAGAAAGGTTCAGCACCATGGATAGCTCCAAATGGCAGCGCAGTTCTGAGCAAGAAAACTACATAAAGAAGCAAAGACTGTTTTGACAGACTCAGGACCATGGATGGCACAGAGGAGTAAAGCACTACTGGTAATAGTTGATTAATGAAAGTAAGAAAGACAGGCTGAAGCTACTCAGCAGTATCCACAACTCTCTCTGTCACGTGTGATCCCATTTATAATAGACATTGGGCACAGAAATAGCTTTCAGGATGACCTGACCACGATGGCCTATTAACAAACCAAGTTCAAATGAAACCATTTGGGGTTTAATTAATTGGAGCAGATGCAAAGTAACAGTAAGCTGCCATAGTCATTACTGACATGTAGCCACGGTCACAATGAGCACGACTAACGGACTGTTCTTCTTTTTCACTCTTTCTGTGTGTGTGTGTGTGTGTGTTTACTGAGTAAGTGAGAGCACACACCTAGACAAAGAGCATCAGACCATGCCGTGTGTTCTGTCTTCTGATAAAGAAGAAGGTGTATCTGCAATCTGCCTTGTATTTAAGTGCCAGCCTTTTCAGTTTTCGACAGGCTTATGGCTTACATCTCTCTGAACTGCACAGAAGAAGAACATGTACAATGTATTCATTATTTTATAATGTTGAACATCATCTGGGTCAATACATTGCTTGTTGTGTTTATTTCAATGATTTAAAATTCAACTTTAAACTAATGTAAATCCTCATTTACACCAGATACATATCTGAAATCTGACCTCTGCATTTTACCCATCCATAGCGTATTAGCAGCAGTGGGCTGCTGTGAAGCGCCCGGGGAGCGATTAGGGGTTCTGTGTCTTGCTCAAGGACACGTAGCAGCCAGGGATTGAACCGGATGACCCCCTCTACCCCATGAGCCACGGCTGCCCATTTAGACCCCCAACATCATATATATCTAGCCGATATGCTAGTCTCACAGGGCCAGCTGTATACACAGGTATACTATGTAGCTGAAAGAATGTGGGCGATGCAATCATTACTCCCATATGTGCTTGTTTAACGTCTCTCTTTAAAACCATATATAGGCATCAATCTACTGCCTCCACTCTTCTGGCTCCAAAATTGGAACCTTGGAAGAGATTTGCACCCATTAAGCCACAGTAGCACTAGTAAAGTAAGAGAATTGATATTGTGCAATAACTTCTCTAGGTCTCAATGTATCCCAAAGGTGTTGGATGAAGTTGAGATCGGGGCTCTATGCAGGACAGTCAAGTTCCTCTACACCAAACTGGGAAAAATCTTACTTTTATGGACCATGGTTTGTGCATTTTCATGTTGGAACATGAACTGGCCTTTCCTTTCCCAAACTGCTGGCACAAAGTTGAAAGCACACTGTTGTCTAAAATACCAGTGTACGCTATAACATTGGAATTTCTCTTATTTGGAACGAAGGGGCACAAACCATGAAAAACAGCCCCCGACCAAAAGTGCAAACAAGTATGTGGACACAAGTATGTGGAGTATCCACATACTTTTGGCACGATATACAGTCTAGTAGTGTGCAGAATCATTACTGACTCAATGACGCTACTGGCAATATGAAGTAAATGGAGCAGATATGAGAGTAATATTGATCTTCTAATCTAACTCTGTGCAAGAAAGCAAATAAGAATATTTCTCAAAAGGTAAAAGTATTCTTTTAAAGGACAAAAGGAACCATAGAAGACATTCAGGCCCAGTGTTTGTTTGTATTTCACAGGGGCCATGGCACTGGGTAGTCTTAAGCTGATTGCAGTCATGCTCAAGAGCACTAAATCTGGAACGGGTGGACAAAAACAGCTATGGTAGCAATATAAATATAGACACTGAGAGGGCGAGGACGAGAAACTGAGACAGAGAGGCAACAAGACAGAAAGAGATAGAGGGTGATGGGGAATTGCCCTCCTGCTGGTGCTACAGATAAGCACAGAGGGCCATATTAATCAGGTTGTTTTGCCTATTACGACATATGGGATAGTATTTCTTCCTCCAAACAACATGCTTAGTCCTCCTCTTCTCCTCTTAGGACCCCATTGCCTGCTCCACAAGTGTTCGCTCTATCTGCCCGTGCAGAGAGCTGATTTAGCGGTGGCTGTTATTCACAGGCTGTTAGCGGGATATTGTTATGGTGCCCTCCTCGTGACCTTCAACTTGATACTGAACCTTGTAATTGATTTACTCAAGGCTGCCCATC